TTCCCCTCTCCTCGTTTTTTTCCTTCTTTTTTCCCTCTTTTCCCCATAAATCAGCAGTAAATCCCCTCCCCCCCCGCCCCCCGTTTCCTCCAGAGGAAAGCCCTGTGCCCTGAACTCACGTGCGGGCACCCTGCAGCGCTGCTGCTGAACCCCGCGCCCCCGACTGACATCCACACCAGATTTTTCCCTCTGGGAGAGCCCCGCCAAAGGACAACAGTCCCACCAATACCCCCCTGCAAGTAAGAGGTGCCCCCTAAAATGCCGCCTCGGTGTCCCCACGCCCACCTGCAGCAGCCCTCCCCACGTTGGTGTCGTGGGGGTGATTGGGGCCTTTGGGGCGCTCTGGGGGCTTTCTGGGGGCTGGCTGTTTCCCCCCTCTTCCCTCCCCCCCCATCCCCCCCGGGGAAGTGGAGCGCCAGCCGTGCAGTGAGGCGTGAGGGTGTCACGTCCCGTTGGTCCTTTACAGTTCACAGAGGGCACAGTGCTTTTTAGGAAGCCCGAGTTCTCGCAAAGCGCCGTGCTTTCCGCGTTGTGGGCTTGCTGCTGGGGTTGGTTCTGCTTCAGTTACTGTGAGCAGGCAGATGCCCCCCGGCCGCGCCGCGCTCGCACTCCATGCCCCCATTCTCATGGCACCGGGAGAGGAGCTGACCAGCTCTTCTGTCCCGTATCGCAGTGCGTGGGGCTCTGAGACAAAGCCCACTGCGTTGGCTCCCGTGCGGCTGCCCTCAGCAGCTCAAAGCCGTGCCAAAAGTCTGGACCGTTTCTTTTGGGAACAACGCAGAGACTGAGGAAGGTCTCTCCCAGATTTGCCACAGGCTTCTGTGCATCTTTGCAGCGCTCTTCCGAGCGCTGCCAGCTCTGTAAGCCCACGTGTGCAGGGAGGGTCAGTCGCTGCCCTGCTGCAAGGTGCAGCTCAGCAGGATGTGGTCCCGTCCCTTCTCATCCCTGCAGCGTTTGCTCTGCTGGGCAATGCCTCGCTGCTCTGTCCCGGCTCTGTTGCTTGAGGGAACCCACGCGTCCGCGCCCTGCGTGTAGGAGGGTGGGAGACACGTGCGTTTCTGCAGTGCTTCCTGTTGTAGGGTGGTGTGCTGCTCTGTGTTTTGCCTTCTCTCTCTTACTTTTGCAGCTTCCCCTGCCCTGTTCTGGGGGCAGCCTGGTTCTCCTGAGGAGCAGTCTCAGTCAGCTTTCTGGTCTCAGTCACCTTTCTTCCAGAAGGAGCCAGAGGCTGCTCAATGCAAAGGGTTCTCAACAGTATGCACAGATCCTGGCTGCCGCTCAGGGCTGAAGCCGGCTCTCCCTGCTCCTGCTGTCAGACAGCCTGCAGTGGTCTTCAGGGCCACTCCATTTCGTGCCTCTGAATGCCACCTGTGGCCAACAGTCACATCAGTGATCTGCTTTAGGAAATTTTCCCTTCCCGTCCCACATTGCTGTGCTTTCCCATTAGTAAATAAGACCACTAATACCCTTATCGGCAGAGGGATTTAGAAAAGATAAACAGATTTGGTTCTATTTCTTTCAGAAACTGTGCCAGAGGTATGGAAAATAAACAGGAAGCACTGAGAGTCCTGGCAGAGCTGCGGAGCAGGATGTGAGTGAGTGAGTGGCACTGCAGGGTTGTGGGGGACAGTGCAGGTGGGGAGGGCATGGCCTGCTTGGGGAAAGTGAGCAAAGCCAGCAGGGCACAGCGAGCAGATGGGGTGCCAGAGCGGTCCCAAGTGGAGAATGGATGGACAATAAAAGCTGGGGTACCATGTGCAGGGTACAGGAGAGAGATGTGCCTCTTACTGGGCCGTACGCAAACAGCTATGGGCAGTATTCCCATCATTTCTGTTACAGGATGCTGAGAAATGGGCTGAACCTGAGCTATTAAATACATTTTAAAGCATGACAGGCTGTAAACTGAGGAGCAGCTTTGGTTTACAGAGGTGGCAGTCCAGCAAAAGCAAGCTTCAGAAGTATGTAAAATGTCTTCAATATAATAAAAATACATGTGTGTGGAGAAAGATGAAAGAAGTAAGATTGCAACAGGCAATGCACAGGGAGGCGGTGGCCCTCTGTAACTGCTGGGAGGCTGTGGCTGTGTGGGGGCACGTCTAGGTGACAGTGACAGGTTGGAGCAGACTGCCATCATTTCCTGGCCATTTTTCTGGGCTCAGAAATACTTGCCTACCCCTGAGAGATGCAGAGAAGTTTCACCTATTTATAATTTCAAGGCAGGGAAGGTTTAGAATGGGGGGTCAGTAGAGCAGCCGGTTTCTGAAAAGGGCAGGGCTCTAATTAATAAATGCGGGCGGCACGGGAACAGCGAGGTGCGTTTGTCTTTCACATCTACTCACCCATATTAATCTGCTGTAATTGCATTAACGGGAATGAGGCGGCATTGGAGCCAGCGTTAGCTGGGGCTGGGCCTCTCTGCAGCTTGGGGCGTTTGTGTAGGGGATGAGCTGGAGCTGAAGGCTGAGCTCAAGGAAGGACAGCGGCCACCCCTACAGGCCATACACCTCTGGGTGC